CTTCCTGAGGTCCCTGACCCTGAGTCTGACCGAGCGCGTGCTGCCAGTCCCACTGTCGCTCGTCTCCTTGCCACTGCTGTCACTGACCCGTCCTTTGAGTCTGCTGCTGCCTCTGCTCTCGTTGCTGAGCTGCTTGACTTTGTTGCTGCCTGCCGTCTCGACTACGCCTCTGCTATAATTGCTGAGTCCGTACCTGCCAGTCCTCCGTCCGTCGGGGGTAAGTGTGCTCTTGGAACGGACATCCTTGAGGACAGGCAGGAGGACTTTGAGTGTCTTGCAGCTGCTGTACCTCGTTTCGCTTCCTTGCTGCTTGCCCCTGAGGGAGACCCGGATGCACCAGACATCTCGACCCCGCGCTCTTACGTAGAGGCGATTACGGGTCCTTACTCCTCTCAGTGGCAGGCAGCTATGGATGCCGAGATGGAATCCTGGAAGTCCACAGGCACCTACGTCAACGAGGTTCCCCCACCTGGGGCGAACATAGTCGACGGCATGTGGATTTTCAGGGGAGTCACTGAAGCTGGCTGGCTACGTGGACGCCGACGACGCCGGCGACAAGCAGAACCGGACGAGCACGGGCGGCTACGTGTTTGTCTTTGGAGGGGCCGCCGTCTCTTGGTCCAGCCATCAAGTGCGCGACGCTGTCGTCGACCGAGTTGGAGTACGTGGCGGCAACCGAAGTGGCCTTCGCTTCCTCCTTGCAGAATTCCGACAGCTGGACGCCGGGACGCCGACTGTCCTTCGGGTGGACAACAAGTCGGCCATCACACTCGCCGAGGGCATGGGGTTGACGGGCAACCTCAAGCACATGGAGCGGCAACAAGCCTGGCTGCAGCACATGGTGAAGCGCGGGAAGTTTTTGCTGAGGTACATCCCGACCGCTGAGCAGCAAGCCGACTTCCTGACGAAGGCGCTGCACTACCCGACCTTCAACCAGTGCTCCGTTGCAATCGGCCAGGTGCGCCTAGTCGACGTGGGCGACAGTGACAACGACGTGCAGCAATAGGTGCCATGCCCTCTTGCATGGCTGGTGCGGTGACCGTCGTGCTGTGTGTTGGGTGCACGCCGACGAGCTATTCTCCAAGTAGTGCTGCCGTCTAGGCTGACGACCCAAGCGTGAACGCGGCAAGGGAGTGTCAACGGGAGTTGTTGTTGGCCCCGTCCTCGCTTGGGCGGAGCCGACCTCGGGGTCGGGTGTGAGGAGTGCAGCCGACCTGCAACAGTGGGCGAGCTGGTCGACGGGCCTGGTCGACCTGCACAAGGGCCACTCCAAGGGCGTCGACTTTGGAGGGCGCCAACTTCGGCCGGTCGACTTGGGAGGTCGACCAGTGGAGGGCGTCGACTTGGGTGTCGCCGACCAGGGGAAGCCGACTGGGTGTGGTCAGCTTACAGGTGTACTGGTCGACCTGGAGTTGGTCGACCAGGTGGGTTGTTGACCTGGAGTTGGTTGACCAGGGGAGTGGTCGATCTGGTGTGGTCGATCTGGTGTGGTCGACATGTGGTGGTCGTCGACCTGGGCGGTCGACGGGCCTGGGATGACACATCTGGTCAACATGGTTGCCTGGTTGACCAGGTTACCCGGACGACGAGGTCTGCGAGGTTCGCGACTGTCGCTCAGGTAGATTGGCAATGTTGACCTGCGGTTCGGTGGCACGTGGTCAACAGGACTCCTCAGGTGCAACCGTGGACATGTGGTCGACTTGGCACCTGCGCAATGTGCGTGGCGGTGCATGTCGTTACCGTCACCTTGCACCTGCGAAGTAGGTGCGCGCACATGAGCACATGTGGTGACCTGTGGTGGCCTGTTGTTGGTGTGCTGGCACGCCAGCCTTGCAGGTCGACTGAGGACGCCTGAGGACGCGTGAGGTCGACCAGCTGGCAAGTCGCCTTCGTGCTGAGCTGGTGGTCGACTTGTATGCTAGGCTTCTGATGTAATCTACCTTGCCAATCTAGTTGCTACCATTGTTCTCAACTTTTGCTAGAGAAACTCTTGCATTTTTGCCATGTGAGTGCATAAGTGCTAGAGAACGACTAAGGGAACGAACGCAGAGATCCCTCCTACCCCGTGCCTAGCCCGTAGCCTAGCTCCCGTTGATAGAGTTATCTCCGCACACAACACCCACTGTTTTTGCTAACACTATTCCCATCTCCACACACCACCCACTGTTTATGCTAATTCCATTACCGATTCACCACTCCACCCACTGTTATTGCTCATTCCGTTTCCATATTAACACACCACCCACTGTTTAGGCTCACTCTATTACCACATCACCATACCAAGCATTGTTTTAGCTCACTCCCCTCCCATCTCTCCACACTACCAACTGTTTTTGCTCACTCCATACTCATCTCACCAAACCACCCACTGCTGTTGCTCACTCCATTACCATACCACCACACCACCCACTGTTTTTGCTCACTCCATTCCCATCTCACCACACCACCCACTGTTTATGCTCATTCCATTACTGTTTCACCACACCACCCACTGTTTTGGCTCACTCCATTACCTATTCAACACACCACCCACAGTTTTTGCTCATTCTATTACCATATCACCTCACCATCCATTGCTTTTGCTCACTCCTTTACCATATCACCTCTCCAATCAATTTAACCTATCGTCACACTCTTCTACATTTGTGACAATTTGCAGGAAGCCGACCAGAAGTTTCCATCGATGGCTGCAATGAGCTGCAACGGTGGCACCCACGTAGCAATAAGAAATGGGCACTCTCTGCAATGAGAGAGTGGCGGAAGCAGAAGGTTGGAATATTCGGTTGTGCAACGCGTCAGCGTGCATTTCAGGCATGTCATGATGCGATGTGCACTGAAGGCGTGCGGAGGGAATGCGATGACAAAGGAGGAGGTGTCTGGGGAGTTAGGACTGGCTCCAGATCACCCGTGCGGTGCGCCACACCTCCAAGCACTGGCAAGCCGCTAAACGGGTCCTCCGCTATCTTCGCGGGACGAAGGACCATGTCCTCACCCTTGGCGACCCCTCCCCTCCTTTGCTTTCGCAGGTACGCGCAGGGGTTGGATGTGCGACGAGCGTGCGTGAGCGACGAGCGTGTGTGTGATTCGAGCTGAATGCAATCGACATGAGAGCTGGTGGAAGACGAGACTGGTTTGAAGGTGAACGGAAAGGTTGAAGACCTTCGACAAAGCACTTTTCACGCCCACAAGCATCGCTTTATGGACATCGCGTCATGCCTTTCCTGCAGTCCACACCTACGACGGCTTATATTTATGACAGTTGCGAGGCACCGAGAAGACATTGATGTTACACCCATACGTAACCGTTGAGACCTTCCTCACCGCCGAGGCTGTCTACACTATTTTAATAAAAATGGTCGTATGCTGGCTCTATTGTTATTCCGTGCCTGGCATTGCGGACGGCGAGTAAGGAATGAGCCTACAAAGGGCTGATTAGTAATCTTGCTTTGTTCGCGTGAAGTGTGTTGCCCCTTCCCCCTAGCTTCACTCGGTGGTTGAACTACAAAAGTCCCAAATTGTGGGGCTGTTGGCTTCAAGGTGAGTATTGGGAGCCTGACTAGTGATTGGACCAAGGATGCAATTTTTCGCATGGCACATCCCAGCCAATCGCTGCAATTGGGAACTAGTGTTGTCGTATCAATCACTCGGGTAACCAACTTCCGAGGACATCAAGATTAGTAATCTTGATAGCCGCGGCTTGCAATTTGGGCCTTGAGATTTAAGCTCTATACCATGTGAGAACAAGAATTTAAGGTAAAAAAATTGATTTGATTAGATGAGAAGAGTGCATACACAGTTGAGAAGAGAAGCTTGGAAGGGAAAGGGAGGAAGGTGGAACTTGGTAGAGTGGGCCAACCTATGACCCATTGGGTTAGGTTGGCAACACTTGGGGGAGTGGGCCAATCTATGGCCCATTGGGTTGGGTTGGCAATACCCCAATGAAGAAAGGATGAAGTGAGAATGATTGCACTAGCAAGCAGTTGAGTACATATAGGAAACCCTAGATTGGGCTGTACTCACTATTGAGTACCCCACTGCAGGCTAGACAAATATAACATTCTGACACCAACAATCTTAAGTTCTACGTGAGGCGTAGCATTTCTGCTTGGAACATGAGCCCCAGTCGTACACCGTCCAGGTATCCTTCTCATTCCGTCGTAGACCGTGTAGGTCACTGTCGCATTCACCTGCTCGCGGTCCAGATAGCATTTACTCACGCAGATGACAGGTAAGCGAACGATACCGGCATCGTTACGCTACCCCGGCGTAGGAAATGCAAGGCAGCGTTTTACCTTACGTAGGGTAATCTACGGTAGCCAAAGCAACCGCCGGTGGCCGAGAGTCCCCCTCAAGTGTCTCTCGGGTTGCCCTCTCAGGTGTCCTCTCAGGTGTCTCTCAGGTGTCTCTCAGGTGCCCATCTCAGGTGTCCATCTCGGGTGCCCCTTTCAGGTGCCTCTCTCAGGTGTTCCTCAGGCGCCCACCTCAGGTGTCTCTCAGGTGCCCCGCTCAGGTGTTTCTCAGGCGCCCATCTCAGGTGTCTCTCAGGCGCGCCTCTCAGGTATTTTCTCAGGGGTCCCTCTCAGGCTTCCCTCAGGTGTCCCCTTCAGGTGCCCCTCTCAGGTGTCTCTCAGGCTCCCCTCTCAGGTGCCCATCCCAGGTGTCTCTCCGGTGTCTCTCAGGTGCTTTGACAATCATACGAGGTCTGATATGAAGCCCGGAGTGTCTCGTCTCGGTCGCAGAGGTGAACCAGCAGACTTTTGAGTCGACTCAAACGTCAACTCAGGTGCTTAGTACGATCATACAAAGTCTAGTATGAAGCCCGGAGTGTCTCAGTCACATAGGTCAACCAGCATGGGTTCATGCGAACACGCGTGTGATGGCCGGCGTCTGCATTGAGTGTGTGAGTGTATGTATACACGTGCATTGCATACATGTATAAAAATATACATTTATATATCTATGTGTGTTTAAACCCTGACAAATTGCTTCGTATCCGGTCCATGCGCCAGAACTATGCGGGTGGGCAACAAGGTGGACGTGTTCCCCTGGCAGCTGCTGGGATGCGAATGGCATGCTTACCATTCAAGGCCGCCTGTATGTGGGATGCTGTGTCCCCTGTCCGTGCTCCGGAATTCTTGAGAGAAACCCCAATGTATGTGGGCAACAGCAAGGTGTCGCATTCCACCCTGCAGCTGCGCTGATCCGAAGGGCGTGCTCATGGCCCAACAGAAACCCTAAAAGAAATCCTGAGAGAAACCCTAAATCCAGTGTACCCCTGTTGGCTGCCCATGCAGCAGGGCTATGTGGGCAACAAGGCAGCCGTGTTCCCCCTGCAGCTGCTGGGCTTCGAATGGCGTGCTCATATGATCCAAAAGGAACCCCGAGAGAAACCCTGAGATAAATCCTGCGAGATTCCCCTCGGTACCCTGTGTTGGTGTGGCAGGGCTATGTGGGCAACAAGGCGGCCGTGTTTCCCCTGCAGCTACTGGGCTTCGATGTGGACCCCATTAACTCCGTGCAGCTCTCCAACCACACTGGTGAGTCGTGTGGTAACCACACTTGTGCGCGCACTGGTGCATGCGGTAACTGCACACTGGTGAGTCGTGTGGTAACCACACTTGTGCGCGCACTGGTGAGAGTGGTAGGGTAACCCCTTCTCACGCTGCAGGCAGCTGCTGGGCTTCGATGTGGACCCCATCAACTCCGTGCAGCTGGATACCTAGTAACCGCACTGGTGCGATGGTGTTGGATACCTGGTAACCACACTGGTGCGATGCTGCTGGTTACCTGGTAACCACACTGGTGAGAGTGGTAAGCTCTCCCCACCCTGCTGGGCTTCGATGTGGCCCAAACCTCTCCAACCACACTGGTGCGAATGCTGGTAGCCGCACTGGTATGTGTAGTGGTAACCACACTGGTGCGAATGTTGGCAACTGCACTGGTGCAGGACGGTCACTTGTCCATCCCATCTGTGTGCCTGCTGTCCCAGAGTCCGTCCCACCTCACCTCACCACCTCACCACACACCCCATGCCTCCCATGCGTGCTGCTGCTGCAGGGTACCCCACGTGGAAGGGGCAGATACTGGACGGGGAGCAGCTGTGGGCGCTGATAGAGGGGCTGGAGGCCAATGGGCTGCTCTTCTACTCGCACCTGCTCACTGGTGGGTATGCTTGGTTGATGTGCATGTCACATGTGTGCACACCTGCACTCATAGGAGGGCCTGGAGGTCAATGGGCTGCTCTTCTACATGCACCTGCTCACTGGTGGGTGCACCTGTGGGTGGATGTGTGTTGACTCCTCTCCCATGTGTGTTGACTCCTCTCCCATGTGTGTTGACTCCTCTCCCATGTGTGTTGACTCCTCTCCCATGTGCCTTGATGCCCATGACTTGTGGAGGATCATTGATAGAGGGGCTGGAGGCCGACGGGCTGCTTTTCTAAACGCACCTGCTGAAACCGTGCATCCGGATGTGCTGGTTCTTTCTTATCTCCTCGCCCATCCGTGCATTGTCGTGCTTTCACATCTACTTCTAGATGTCATTGGTGTTTCGGTTTCTACACGCACCTGCTCACTGAAGTGTGATTTTCTTCCACACGCACGCTGATGTGCCTATTCTAGCTGACCTCCTCACATCGCATCGCGTCGCGTCGCGTCCCGTCACGTCACATCACATCACATCACATCGCATCGCATCGCATCGCATCGCATCACATGACATGACATGACATCGCATCGCAGCGCATCGCATCGCATCGCATCGCATCGCATCGCATCGCATCACATCACATCACATCACATGACATCACATGACATCACATCACATCACATCACATCACATCACATCACATGACATCACATCGCATCGCATCGCATCGCATCGCATCGCATCGCATCGCATCACATCACATCACATCACATCACATCACATCACAATTATGGTTCAATCACATCACAATTATTGTTCCATCACATCACCTCCTCTCTCTTTTTCTCTACCCTTGGCTCTCCCTTTTTCTCCCCTCCCCTCCCACGAAGCAACGTCGGGCCGTCCTGGAAACTGTTCTGTTCTGAGGGTTGTGGAAAAGCTAATACCAATCAACACCCACCTGACACTGATGCGCCTAACATCACCTCCTCACATCTCAATCACTGTTCCACTAGTCAACCTCTCTCCTCCCTCTTCCCTCCCACCAGGCTACATCGGATCACTCTCCTTCCTGGAAACTGTCCTGAGGGTCGTAGAGAAGCTCAGATCAGGCAACCCTAATTGGACACGGATGCGCCTAACATCACCCCCGCATATCGCAATCACCGTTCCATGATCAACCTCTCTCCACTCTTTTATGCTCACAGGCTACATCGGATCGCTCTCCTTTCTGTTCTGAGGGTCGTTGAGAAGTTCATATCAATCAGCATCAAGTCAGCTCTCTCCACCAACCCCCTCTATCCCCCTTTCCCCCTCTCTACCCCTCTCTACCCCCGCCCCCTCGTTCCCCCTCACTCCCCCTCCATCCCGCTCCCCGCTCTCTCCCCTGTCCCCCCACAGGCTGCATCGGATCGCTCTCGTTCCTGGAGACTGTTCCAAAGTTCGTGGAAAGCTCAGATCAGGCAACCCCAATCTGACACTGATGCGCCAAACATCAACTCCCCCATGGTTCCATAGTCCACCTCCCTCGCCTCTCTTTCCCTCCCACCAGGCTACACCGGATCCCTCTCCTTCCTGGAGACTGTTCTGAGGGTGGTGGAGAAGCTCAGATCAGTCAACGTCAACTCGACTCTCTCCATCTCTACCCCTCTCTACCCTCCTCGCCCCCTCTCCTCTCTTCCCTCCCACCAGGCTACATCGGGTCGCTCTCCTTCCTGGAAACTGTTCTGCGGGTCGTGGAGAAGCTCAGATCGGTCAACCCCAACCGAATATATGGTACTTTCTGGGATTCACCCTAAAAGGATGTGTGGTAGTCTATGACTCATCATAAACTGATTAAATATGGGTTTTCTTGTTTGTTTAAACTGATAGTGTATATTAATTCTTGAGTGAACCCTAACCTTAGTATGCCTACTTGTTGTGTTAACCCTAACTTGATATGTGGAACTTTTCTGTATTAACCCCACCTTGATATATGGTACCTTTTGAGTCATTATTTTGTCCTCTTCTTATCGAATTTACCGTGCCGTGCAATGATGCACCAGCGTGCAGAGTTGATTCATTTGTGTGTATATCATCCTTTTTTTTTTTTTTGTGGTATCTCAAAGATCGCCCACACCCCCTTCCCCACACCCGTTTTCCCTTCATCCCTCCCCTCAGTGTGTGACCCAGTGATAAGGGGCATTGGCTGTTTCTACACGGCAGCTACTCCTTGCTACCGCTTATCCCACCTCTCCTTGCTAAAGTTTCCCATCTCCCACCATCTCTCTTTCCCTCCCCTTGCAACATGCAATTCGACTTGACTTTTGAGTCGACTCAGAAGTCATCTCCCACCATCTCTCTTCCCCTCCGCCACATCTTCACCCCTCCCCTTCCAACGTGCGATTCAGTGATGGGGGACGTCAGCCATTTGAGGCTGCTTGAATCTGGCCTGCTGCCCTTCCAACCTTGCCACCCCTTTCCCTCTACCTCTCCCCCAACCTCTCCATCCCATCTCTCCTCCGCTCCCCTCACAGTGTGCAATCCAGTGATGGGGAACGACTCCTGTTTGAGGCTCTTCAAGTAAGGCCAGCTGCTCCCCACTTCCCCCATCACTGAACCACTACATTGCTGCTTCTCCGTGTCACCACTACCCCCACCTTTCCTCACACTTCCCTCCCCCTTCCCCCCATGTCTAACCTCCCCTCGCAGTGTGCGATCCACTGATGGGGAATGACGGCCGTCTCTACATTGCTGCTTCTCCATGTCACCTTCTCCCCCAACTCTCCTTACTCTTCCCTCTCCCTTCCCCCCATCTCCCCGCCTCCCTCCACTTTGCTCTACCCTTCCTCCCTTCTCCCCACCTCCCCTCCCCTACCCCCCACTCACAGTGTGCGATCCAGTGATGGGGGACGATGGTCGTCTCTACATCCGCCCCGAGCTCGTCCCCATCTACCGCCACCAGGTGCCACCTACACGCATGCCCTATTCACTCCGTAAGGGTGCTATGAGAATTCTGAGAATCGCCACCAGGTGCCACCTGCACACCCACCTGCCTTATCCACACTCTAAGGATGTTATGAGAATTCTCAGAAAGGCCACCAGGTGCCATCTACCGCCACCACGTTCTATCTCCTCTCTCTGTAAGCTCGTTCTGAGAGGACTCACACCTGCCATCAGGTGCCATGCCATGCTACTACCCACACCTGCCCTATCCACGCAGTGATCGTGTCTTGAGATAAAAAGAAAAAAAAAGAAAGAAAGAAAGAAAGAAAGAGAAAAAAAAAAGCGCATCAAGTGCCCCTTGACACCTGCCCTGCACACCTGCCCTCCACGCATCCCCACTCTATGCACCTGCAGTTCTTGTTCTCCCTATGACGAATCTGACTACCCCAAGGTTGGGAGTGCACCTTCCCGCAACTCAGCATCCATCTAGCGGCCGACTGACAGACATGGAATTATGCCGACAGACACCCAATCTCTCAACATCTGTGTATCGTTCTGGGCGCTCATCCCCGTTGCTCAGTGCGTGCTGCTGTGCTGCCTGTCTGGCAGGTGGTCCCAGTGGCGACGCTCATCACACCAAACCAATTTGAAGCAGAGCAGCTTACAGGCCTCAGGTGAATGGCTCAGTACTCTACCAGGTTCCTACTTAGGAACTTGTTCTTTGCATTATATTGCGCTCAGGTTTGAAGTGGATTGGTGCGATGAGAGTCTCTCAACTGCTTTTGGGTACAGCAAATCACAGGCCTCACAACCCTGAGCAGGTCTTAACTCAAAGGCTTCAGGTGAATTGATATGCTCTTGCTACCTGCTCCTCTCCATGCCTTGTTCTCCTCGCCTTGTTTCTCCTTACCTTGCTGAGAATCATGAATGTCGCTATTGATGACTCAAAAAGCATATCTGATCCAGCATTTGTTTTGCCGTGCTGTGCCGTGCTGTGCTGTGTTGTGCTGTGCTGTGCTGTGCTGTGCTGTGCTGTGCTGTGCTGTGCTGTGCTGTGCTGTGCTGTGCTGTGCTGTGCTGTGCTGTGCTGTGCCGTGCCGTGCTGTGCTCTGCCGTGCCGTGCCGTGCCGTGCCGTGCTGTGCTCTGCCGTGCTGTGCTGTGCTCTGCCGTGCTGTGCTGTGCTGTGCTCTGCCGTGCTGTGCTGTGCTGTGCTGTGCTGTGCTGTGCTGTGCTGTGCTGTGCTGTGCTGTGCTGTGCTGTGCTGTGCTCTGCCGTGCCGTGCCGTGCCGTGCCGTGCTGTGCTCTGCCGTGCTGTGCTGTGCTCTGCCGTGCTGTGCTGTGCTGTGCTGTGCTGTGCTGTGCTGTGCTGTGCTGTGCTGTGCTGTGCTGTGCTGTGCTGTGCTGTGACCTGCATCCAATCACATGCTTCAATCTTTAGGTGCCTCAACACTCGCCCACTCACTAACCAAACTCCCTGCAAACGTGGCGTTTAGGCATTGCCAGTGCACCCTATCTCCCTCCCCCCCTCCCTCCCAGCGGCCAAACTAAGCAGCTGCCATCACTGCATGAGACATGCTGCATGTTGCAGGGCTCAGGAAGGTGAATGTGCATGGCATGGCCACAGGGGGGAGCGAATGGTAGAATTGCTGATACTGGCACTGCATGTGCACCCCCTCTCCCCTCCATTTCCATCCTCCCCTGCCTCCTTCCCTACCTCCCAGCATCCGGACTCAAGCAGACGCCATCACAGCATGTGACATGCTGCACGCTGCAGGGCCCAGAAAGGTATGGATGGCTACAGGGGAGGAAGAACAGTGGGTAGGTAGGTAAGGGGGACTTTCGGGGATCTCTTTAGTGTTTAAAACAAAGGCGTGACAGTGGATTAGCATGATGCTTGATGCTGCAGGGCCTAGAAAGGTATGGATGGCTACAGGGGAGGAAGGACAGTGGTCTAGGGACTTTCGGGGATTTCAAAAGTGTTTTGAATGCAAGTATGATAACGGTGTGGATTGGTATGATGATGCCCGCTGTATGGCCCAGAAAGGAATCACATTGAGTCGGTTCAGAAAGGAATCACATTGAGTCGGTTCAGAAAGGAATCACATTGAGTCGGTTCAGAAAGGAATCACATTGAGTCGGTTCAGAAAGGAATCACATTGAGTCGGTTCAGAAAGGAATCACATTGAGTCGGTTCAGAAAGGAATCACATTGAGTCGGTTCAGAAAGGAATCACATTGAGTCGGTTCAGAAAGGAATCACATTGAGTCGGTTCAGAAAGGAATCACATTGAGTCGGTTCAGAAAGGAATCACATTGAGTCGGTTCAGAAAGGAATCACATTGAGTCGGTTCAGAAAGGAATCACATTGAGTCGGTTCAGAAAGGAATCACATTGAGTCGGTTCAGAAAGGAATCACATTGAGTCGGTTCAGAAAGGAATCACCATGTGCTTACCTTGTGCTTACCTTGTGCTTACCTTGTGCTTACCATGTGCTTACCATGTGCTTACCATGTGCTTACCTTGTGCTTACCATGTGCTTACCATGTCCTTACCTTGTGCTTACCATGTGCTTACCATGTGCTTACCATGTGCTTACCATGTGCTTACCATGTGCTTACCATGTGCTTACCATGTGCTTACCATGTGCTTACCATGTGCTTACCTTGTGCTTACCATGTGCTTACCATGTGCTTACCATGTGCTTACCATGTGCTTACCATGTGCTTACCATGTGCTTACCATGTGCTTACCTTGTGCTTACCATGTGCTTACCATGTGCTTACCATGTGCTGACCATGTGCTTACCATGTGCTTACCATGTGCTTACCTTGTGCTTACATTGTGCTTACCATGTGCTTACCATGTGCTTACCATGCGCTTACCATGCGCTTACCATGCGCTTACCATGCGCTTACCATGCGCTTACCATGTGCTTACCATGTGCTTACCTTGTGCTTACCTTGTGCTTACCTTGTGCTTACCATGCGCTTACCATGTGCTTACCATGGGCTTACCATGCGCTTACCATGCGCTTACCATGCGCTTACCATGCCCTTACCATGTGCTTACCATGTGCTTACCATGTGCTTACCATGTGCTTACCATGTGCTTACCATGTGCTTACCATGTGCTTACCTTGTGCTTACCTTGTGCGTACCTTGTGCTTACCAGTGGCTATGAAACAGGACATGTCACGTGCCTTACGACATGCCATTCAACATGGCACCTGCAAATTCCCCATGCAGCTTGATATGCCATGCTACATGCCATTCGACATGCCATTCCGCATGCCATTCCGCATGCCCCAAAATATGCGATCCCACATGCCGCCCACATGAACGGCACACATGCAGGGAACGGGAGATCTGATGACCGCATTGCTGCTTGGATGGTCACATGTGAGTCGCACAGTCACATGTGAGTCGCACAGTCACATGTGAGTCGCACAGTCACATGTGAGTCGCACAGTCACATGTGAGTCGCACAGTCACTTGTGAGTCTCACAGTCACTTGTGAGTCGCACAGTCACATGTGAGTCGCACAGTCACATGTGAGTCGCACAGTCACTTGTGAGTCGCACAGTCACTTGTGAGTCGCACAGTCACTTGTGAGTCGCACAGTCACTTGTGAGTCGCACAGTCACATGTGAGTCGCACAGTCACTTGTGAGTCGCACAGTCACTTGTGAGTCGCACAGTCACTTGTGAGTCGCACAGTCACTTGTGAGATCGTATTCCTATGCAGTCTGGACACCTAGAGGTATTCTCATGCTACGCCTACTCCCCTTAACATTTCCTTACCTAGGCAACTAGCCACTGTTCATACAACACTAAGAGATCCACTCAAACTTAGGGACGATGTGAGAACACCGCACGCCACACGCGTCAGTCAGGGAGTTGATAAAGCACAGCTGACTGAGTCCAACTAGTAATCATCAAGACTACACAGCATTCTCTAGCATAGGTTTGGGTTCGAGCATCCATCAAACCTTCAAAACTACAAGGTATCGTGACATTTAGACCTTCATTTGAAAACAAACTGTGTGCTGCTCGAGGTGTCCTAACTCCGGATGGTGCCCCTTTGTAACGATCTGAGTCGCACAGTCGCATGTGATTTGGGCAGTGACGTTTCATTCTTGCTCCCCCCCTTCCGTTCTCTTCCTAACTCGCTCTCTTCCTCCTCCCTCCCTCCCTCCCTCCCCCCGTCCTCCCTCCCTCCCTCCCTCTTTCATCAGAAGTATCCGCACGACTTGGCTAGAGCAGCGGAGCTGGCAGTGGCATCCCTACAGGTGAGCCACTGCTGTTGCGCCTCGTGCTTCTGTTTGTTGCTGCTCTGCTGTGTTTCCAATGTTCGTCTAGCTTTTCTGTTGCAGCATCAGAGCCGTCAGTGGCATCCCTACAGGTGACCAGCTGCTGTTGCGCCTCGTGCTACAGTTTGTTGCTGCTCTGCTGTGTTTCCAATGTTCGTCTAGCTTTTCTGTTGCAGCATCAGAGCTGGCAGTGGCATCCCTACAGTTGAGCAGCTGCTGCTGGTCCTGGTGCTATTGTCTGTTGCCGCTCTGCCATGCTTTGAGCCAAGCTATATCAGCAGAGCTGGCATTGGCAACCCATGGCAGTGCAACCTTCCTGACCTGATTGCTCCTCTCCTCCCATTCTTTCTCCCTACAGGCTGTGCTCGCACGAACCTTGCAGCACCACTCTCCACCTCTGGACGGCACCGATTCCTCTCTCACTCCCCGCACCCCCAAGCGCCTGGAGCTCTGCCTTGTTCAGAGCCGCGATGACATTATAAACCCGCCTGTGGCGTTACGTGCACAAGCGGTTGAAAGCGGTGTAGATGGTTTAGATGGGTTGCAAGATGGTGAAAGTGCCTTGGTGAGCAGTGACAGTGTAGGGGTGCTGCAGGATGAGGGAGTTGATGCTCAGCTGAGAACTGAGAGCTGAGTTGAATAAACTGTAAAAAGAGAACGCTCAACTGTTCTTGGCATCAACGTACGTTTTATGCTTAAAGCCAGGGTCTCAAGTAAGCTAAGGAGCCGTCACCTGCAAAGCAGTTGAAGCTAGGTTACCTAGTTATTGCAGACGAAGTTCTCTCTGGTTGGGTTGAAAAAACAGCTTGCGACACACCCCGTCATTTCCACACAAGCGATTGCACAACAATTTTGGGTACTCGAGACTTTAGATGAATTGGGGGCATTTTAGGTTTGGCGCCGAGCCAAGTTTCCAAGCCTAGAAGGTTTGGGTACACCCAGCGAACACTTGTATTACTTGAGAACCTGGCTTTAAGTCAGGAACATCTCAGAGCACAACAACGTAAAACATTTTGAAACCAGGTGGGTATTGAACCCGCAGGATACAACGCTTCATCGTGAGGATCGAAAGAGTTACGCTCTGATTGTCTTTAGGGCCTACTGATTTAAGCTTGGCCATGATGAGCTCTCTTGTCAAGCAGCATGGAGGACGCAGAGCCGCTGCGCGCGCTCTCCGCCCACATCGCGTAAAAACGGACCAGGCGGGTTCTGAACCCGCGAATCTTTAAAGCCCGTACTTAGATAGTTACCCTCACCTTTCCGCTCTATCGCCGCGTACCTTCGGTCCCTAGTCCCTCCCCGCGCTGCGCGCGCTCTCCGCCCACAGCACGTGACGCGGGTCGTACTGATCTCCCGCCGAGTAGCGTGAGGTCGCAGAGGTGCGCCGCTCTCGAATCACTTACTGAGCTCCGCCAGCAGTGTTTCAAGCCGGGCCGTCGCGAGTAGCATGGAGGACGCAGAGGCGCGCCGCTCTCGCCTGCGCGGCATGCGCGATTCCGCGGTGAAGCAGCAGGCGGCGTCCCCCGGCGCGCCCACGCCTTCCGTCGCCGTCTCCGTTCTCCCCTCCCCCAACTTCTCCCCCGCCGTTCATCCGCACGCATCCGCGCCTGCGCCATCCGGGGAAGGCGGACCTGGGGGAGGTAGATCTGCTAGACGGCCAGCAGGGGCAACAACAGCAGGCTCGGGGGGATTCTCTTTCTACACGGATCCTATGGCAGCGTATAAGCAGCAGCCACGTGTAGGGCCAGGATTGGGGCCACCTTCCGCGGATCCCCCAAGCGCGGGACCATTCAGTGCGCCCATCCTCCGCCATCCACCCCCGGGTGGCGGAATGGGGGTGGCGTTCTCCCCCCTGCCCGCGACCATGCGCCAGGCCACCCCTCCCTCCGCGCCACTGTACCAGTCAACGCCTTCCCCGGGTATGACCCCCCCTGGCTCGCTTGGTGGTGCTGCGGGTGGCGCCTCCCCCATGCACCTCCCCCCTGCCTCGTGGGGCGGTCCCCCTGGCGAGGCAGGGTACCAGCCACAGGGTTACAAAACGCAACAAAGTTGCCAGCAGCATGGTTATCAGCAGCAGCAGGGTTACCAGCAGCAGTGCTATCAGCAGCAGGCGGGCAAAGGGTGGGATGGCGGAGGGAGAGGGGGATGGGGGCAGGACAGAGGAGGGAGAGGGGGAGGGGGTAGAGACAGGGAAGGAGATTTTAGAGTGCGGTGGGGTGGGCGAGGGGACATAGATGGCAGGAAGAGGCCTTGGGAGGGGCAGGGCGGAGGGAGCGGCAGTTACAATAGAGGAGGGGAGGGTGCAAGTCTGAGTGCGGGTGGAGGGAGAGGGGGGTGGAATAGGGAGGAGAGGGCGAGTGGAGGAGGGTGGGATGGGAATAGAGGGGCGGGAGGAAGGGGAGGAGGAAGAGGAGGCGAAGGGAGAGGAGGGAGAGGAGGGAGGGGAGGTGGATCCAAGGGGGGTGTATCCAGGGCTGACGTTTCATTTTAAGCTTCCCTGATTCCGGGGAAAATTTTCCCCCTCTATTATGGGTGCACATTTTCCAGAAAAGCAGTACCCTGATTGCTCAGGGTTGTAAAGTAGTTAACACTGATTGTTCAGGGTCGAGAACTGAACATCAGAGTAGTAACGCGCGCTTTGTTACCGGGGAAAATATCCCCACTCTCCATAAAGTCTCGAAGTTTCGATAAAGCGGGAAGGGGGGGGATTACGCACATGTGGGGGGATCACTGCGATCAATCCAAGGCGGGGTCATCGGAAGGAAACTTCCGAGAAACTTCCTCTCGATAAGTCAGGGTCCACACAGTCGATACTCTGTTAAGTCAGGGTCCACTAACAGCCTAGTCTGTTACACTGTACTCAAAATCAGGGATAGCTAAACTACCGTATTACCCCGGATATAGGCGCATATGTGCCTATAATAAAATCATTTTTTTTAGGGGTGGCGCTTGTAATTGAATAACGGCCATAAGCGCCGGCGCTTATATCATGGCAAAAATGAATTTGTTATTTTTATGTACCAAATCGAAGCCCGCAATAAGGCGAACACAATTGAGTAACGTGCGCGTGGGATAATGCTTGCAATCCCGCCGAAAACTGCTGCGCTTCGATTCCCGACCGCACAAATCCCGTCCACGAGCAGCGCACCTGCCAGCGCTGACGTGAAAGTTGCCTTGCGGCCCAATCAGGCTTTCATGCGCTGGCAGGCAGCTGCATTTCACCCGAACCATCGAGAAGGGGCTGGAATGCCTTGCCAGCGCAGCATCTTCGTGCCGCGATAACCTCCTCTCCGGGTTCAGACAGGGGGTACCCGTCTCTCCCCGACGAGGACCTCGAGGCGCTAACCAGAAGGGGTCCCTTTGAATCTCTCATTTGTTCTCCATCTCTCTCAGTTTCTCGTTCGGGTTCTTGGTAGTTCTCGCCTGGCTGCCGCCGCCATGGCGGAATTCAGCGGCACCCACTTCTTGTTCAAGAAAAAGCCTACGCGAAGGCCCGCGTTTAGAGTAGACGCTGACGGGCGGTACTCCCGTATCCCACCAGAACCACCAGAGCCACCACGGCCTCCTGCGCCTCCTGCGCCTCCTGCGCCTCCTGCTCCTCCTTCGCCTCCTGCACCTCCTGCGCCTCCTGTTCCTCCTGCTCCTCCGCCTCTGGGTCCTGTGTCTCCGCAACTCACTGGCAATCAGCCCGTGCTCACGATACTGCTCCCATCGGCGTTCGACGAATACCTCTCCGAACCGGAGTCTAACAAGGCGCAAGATGAGTACGTGGAAGTGGAACACTTTCCTGGACGACGTTGGGGACAGCCCGACGATTGCCCTTGGGACAAATCTGCGGTCGGCGCCGACGATGATGTTGCTGACGCAGAGGAAGCGAGCGGCGCTGACGGCGCCGAGGGTGGCACGGAGGCTTCCGCCGGGGGCGGCGCCCAGGGCGGCACCGCTGACGATGTGTTTCCAGAAGGTGTTACGGGCGACGCTGACGACGACGGCGTTGAGTACTGGTCACGCGACGGGCTACCCGAGAAACTGCCCATACCAACCTATCCTCCGAATAATCGCAAGCGACCCCACCCCTCTTCACAGAACCGTGATGCCCGCCCCCCCTCTCCCAGGCACAAGCTCACCGACCACAAGCGGCAAGGTTACACCGCCGCGGAGAAGTTGAAGTGGGTTGCTCTGATGGACTTGGCGGTGTCGGTGCGCGCCTTGGCTCGCGAGAGCGGAATCCACCGGAAGTGTCTCGCCAACTGGAAGCGGGCGGCGGAATTCCTCAAGGATGTTCACTCCTCTCGGAAGCGCATGCACGGCCGCGGGCGAGCGTCGTGGTACCGGCCGATGGAGTTGAAGGTGTACGAGAAGCTACTCGAGTGGCGCCGCAAGGGAACCGCCGTGTCAGTCGGCCGCTTGCAGGAGTGGTCGCGGGAGTTCATGAAGCTTCTGTACCCGGACAAGAAGTGGAAAGGAAGCCAGAGGTGGTCGGAGCGCTTTCGGCGGCGATGGAATCTGAGCGTCCGCATGAAGACCCGGGTTGCCCAGAAAACCGCAGCGCGTGAGAATTACCCCGTTCAATTTGGCACGTTGATTTTCTTTAATTGTACTAACGCCCTCCGTCTGTGTCCGACGTCTCTTCCACCGCCGTGCAGATGTCGCTGATCAGTGCAAGAGCTTCTGGCAGTTCGTGCGTGCCAAGCGTCGTGAGCGCGGCATCGACACCGCGTGGATCATCAACGCGGACCAGACGCCGCTCTGGCTGGAGATGCCCGCCACCACCACCGTGGAGGAAACGGGTGTTCGCTCGGTGCCTATCAGGAGCGCGGGGTATCAGAAGCAAAGAGTGACCGTGATGTTGGCGTGCACGGCGGACGGAAGGAAGCTGAAGCCGTGGGTGTTCTTCAAGCGCAAAACCTTGCCGAAGGGCGATTTCTCTGCTGGTAAGTAAAGAGGTGCACGGCTCGGTCACTGCGTTCTTTTCAGAGTTCGAATTCTAACCACCCGTGCGTGTTTCATGCAGATGTGGCCGTGGCTTGCCACGAGAACGGGTGGATGGACTCCCCTGGCGTCGTTCGCTGGCTTGAGGAGTGCGTGAAGCCGTTCCTCAAGCCTCGGTTCGGCAGACACGCCAAGAGCTCGATGCTGGTGCTGGATTCTTACCGCGGTCACCTCACCGAGGAGGTGAAGGAGAAGCTCCGCGAGATGAACTGCGTGCCGGCGATCATCCCGTCGGGCTGTACGGCGGAGGTACAGCCGCTCGATGTCTGCATCAACAAGAGCTTTAAGGCGTCGGTCCGCCAGCAGTACCAGAGGTGGTTTGAGGCAGAGGGGCAAGAGCAGCTGACGGCAGCAGGTATGGCATGAGTACAGTATTCCCCCCCCCCCCCCCCGAATTCTTTGTTGTTGCACTAACTGCTTTCCACCGTTCTCCCGTAATGTTTCAGGGAACCTGAAGAATCCTTCACCAGAGGTCGTCCTGCGGTGGGTATCACAAGCCTGGAAGGCAGTGACCGCCGACCTCATCAAGCATGCCTTCCTCACCTGTGGCATCAGCAACCAGCTTGACGGCAGTGAGGACGGACTCGCCATGGCGCACAGGCGGAGCCAGCTGACAGCTGAAGTGGATGTCGACGATGACATCATCGCTGATGGTTTTTTTGGCAACAACTGCCAGGAGCCCGAATCTGACGAGGAGGAGTAGGAGGGTTACTGTATGATCCATGTTACCATAGGTAGAAGTACCCCGGCTAAACTTGTTAGGAGATCTAGCTTAATTTGATGCTGCTTAGAAAAAGTGACAATTGAGTAAATTCTTTTGTAATGCCTCCAATGAAATGTTAAGGGATGCGCTTATAATAAGGATAGAATTTTCAGGGGGTGCGCTTATAATCGAGTTCCGGCCATAAGCGCCATGCTCCAGATAGAGGTGCCGGCGCCTTTAATCGGACGGCGCCTATATCCGGGGCCATACGGTATTACTCTGATTGGATCAGGGCTGGAGATTCAATAACTCTGAAATTTCAGTCTCCACGAAGTGGAAAGCCTGAAATCACCCTGAAATCAGGGTAATTACCCTGATAAAATCAGCCCTGGGTGCAGGGCTGACTATTCAAAAATATCCAGTCTGATGTTCTGGGGGCTCTGAAAATTTTTAGTCTGAGGCATATTTCCCAGAGAATGGCCACTCTGATTTTTCAGGTTCCGCAAAAACACAAGTCTGAAGTACTCAGAACACACTACAACCACTGCAGTACAGTACTGCCACAAATGTAGCACGTGGGGCGCAACGCTAACCAGTTTCCCTCGCTGACACCGCGTAGCTGCAGTGATGGTCCCGCGTGAGTGGAAGAGTGAGCCAAGTTGGCAGATTTCTAAGGGAAAAGGGTGGCAAAAGTTGCCAAGGACAGATTCTGCGCGTGACAGCGCCATGAAGTGTGTTCGTACACTGGCAACATATGACGTAGCGGAATGTACGTAGAAATCACAGATCCGCATTTCAGGATCCGTACTCCCTGTAGTATGAAGACCCATTATCGGCTAAGTCAGTACTCTGAAAATCTCAGGATCCAAAACCAAGTAATTCTGAGGCACTCATGTTTGAAAATCTTACAAGTCTGAAAAATCAGGATCCGTAGGAAAATACCCTGAGATTTCAGACAATCAGACTATTTTAGTCTGATAAAGTCAGCCCTGCCTGGGTGTATCGGCACGAGAGCAGCTGAAAGCGTTTTTCTCCCCTAGATTCTTAGAGGATCCATGGAAGCACTTAACCCTAACTGTGTGTTGAGAGTTTGGGTTCGGTTATGTGCATGTCACCATCCTCAGGAATCCTTGGTACCTGTAATTCAACCACAGTTATATGTGGAAGCCTAAACGAAACAGGAAACCTCCGAATTATCTACCGGGTCATACAATATGGAGATACAATATCCGCACGAGCAGTCACCCCTACGGGCCTAGGGGATGGACTGAAAAACTCCACCATTTCAATTACTACCTTTCTACCATAATCCCCGGGGATAATTAGTGTTGAGAGATGTAGGTCTCTTAACATTTCTGAAATTCCCAGTTAGACTATACAGTATCGAAACAGTACAATAGTGGGTCTATCGGACTTGATGACGTCAGCATTCGGATTCAGCTGACTAGTCAAAGTAGCTCTAGGCCTAGGTCAACAAACAGCCACTTTCATAAGTGTCTACAGGTCAACAACCCTAGAGTGACGAATAGGTACATTCGTCTACAGTATACGAACAGGTACTTTTGCTAGGACTATAAGATTGTTGATCTTCTAGACCATGTACACATATATAACTTTAAACATATATATAATTTTTATATACAAGCTTGATTCCACACAAGTTGGACAAGCCACAAGTCTTCCACTGCCAATACTTAGTCTTTAATCCAAGATACTACGATCCTGAAAAGGGCTACGTCCCTTAACCAATTCTACGGGTTTCCAACCCATTCCATCAATTAGAACCCCTGGCCCCCGGGGCTTTATTCTAGGAGATTATAGTATTGCACATGCTCCATCATAATGTCTCACACCATGCATTGTGCATGATGCTCCAAGTTCCAC